GGTGGGTTAACTGGCGGACCCAAAAGACTGAAGAGACGAATGGGCATAGATGCTGAATGGAAGAATTCGGAAAAGGGGGGAATGAACTGGGGAGGGCGCGGCCACGCAAGCTTAGCTCAACAAGAGCAAGCCAGGCGATCACAGGAGATCTAAGCATGACCAAGACAGAACCAAATTAATAGTGGGCGTGGAGAGAAAGGCGTTAGATCACTTTGTTCAAACTAGAGGAGTCTGACGTTGCAAAGGGACCTGGGGTGGTCAACAGGAAGATTTGGCAACTGCTCCTTTACTTTTCTCCAAGAACCCTGGAGCCTGATTTCAGTGGACCTCTGTAATGAGCTCATCGCAGCACCCTTGGTTTCTAAGGGCAGATGAACATTTTAAGCTGAAACTTCTACAAGAGAGGTCGGAAGTACTTATGCTTGGAGACATGAACTCCAGCCTTTTCTTAAGATCTTGCAGCCAGTGTTTGTCCGACAGCAATGTGCCTTACACTACAAAAACCCACTGAAACTAACGTGAGAGAGTTTCTTATGACACCTATAAGTAATCTGAAAAGTCAAGTGAAATATGTCTAGGATTCTCGAGGGTTGGTGGAGAAAAGTGTTTCTAAACAGACTTTAAAACATCACTGGTAGGAAAGATAAGACCAAAAGGTAGAAACGCAGCACTGCTTGCCAGGGGGAGCGGGAACAATGCAAAATGAGAAGCAGATAATTCCCTGATACCAAATCTAAGTAAGCTATCCAGGATAAAACAAGGCTCCTTTTTTTTAATTATTATTTTTAAAGCACCTGTTTTACAAGTGCTGTCATTTTGGATTGTCACTACCGAGAACAAGCAGTCTTCTTGCCAAACCCAAACTGTATCCGTAGTCTATCCCGCTGTTTTATTTTTGAGGTACCTGTCATCTAGTTACCCAATTCGAACCTGATGCTGCAGAATAGCACCTGCCAGCCCAGCTCTGCTGCTGCCCTGCTACTATCCACTGACCTCTGCTGGGCAAGGCACACAGTTCAAGTTGAAAATGTGGTTAAAAACCTTGCTCAACCAGGACTTCTGTTTATTTTGCTATTTTTAACAAATCCTGCTGTGTTCCAAGGTACAATTGCAGCATGCGTCGTATGGGCTTGTGACTCCTGAAACCTGTCCGCACTTAAGGACTGCGGTTCCTTCTACACTATGTAGCCAGACAAATTCTCTGCCAGATGCTCTCAGTAAGTCAGAGTTTACTTTATAAGTAACATATATTCAGTGGAAATCCAGGCTAAATATTTTACGAGTTGCTGCATGTGCGTTAACCCTAGCACCTTTCACCAAGTGTCCATTAATTTTATTAAAAGTAAAATAATTAAAATTATGATCTCGTTCCCACTACCAAAGGGAAAGGCAGATGCTGGCAGCATGATTGCAGGCTGAGGCTGTTCTGAGATCGTGCTGATTTACACCCATGCAGCTCTGGTTGGTATCCATTATTGGTAGGAAAGAATGCATTTTACCAGCAGTTGTGTATGGTCAAATGTTACCAAAATGATGATGTTTAGTCCCAATATCTGCTAACCTGTACTGCACTGGTGTCTTAATTCATAACCTCGTGAGGAGGTCTGCCTCCCAGATCACTGATCTTTATATTCCCTTGTGCTTTTCACACCAGAATATGTTTAGCGGTGGAGTTAGAAACTGAATGCTGGAATTTGAATATTTTTTGAAGAGAGTATGAAAAATACTCTTTAAAAATTAGCGCTGCTTGAGAGGTTAAGGGGAAGGTTTTTAAAATCTCTTTTGCAAGTGGGTTGCTGCACTGTTCTTTCTGCGGCTTCCGATTAGAAGGGACTGAGCATTTATTTGCTTCTCTAAACTTCTTGTATGAAATATTGTTTAATTGCTACCATTGCTGCTGATTTAAAAAGTATGCATAATACCCATTATGAAAGATGCACGTTGCGTGTTTGTGATTAACGCTCATAGTGTTTGCTTTGGTTGTAACCCTCAGTGTGTTTTCACTTCAAGTGCAGGCTTAAGCAATGCATTAATTTCACCGTATTTTTAGAAGATGGTCAGCTTTGTTGTTTCCGTAGCTATGGAGCCCACGTAAGGAAGCCATGGCCTTCCATTACCCAGCTGTTGGGCTAAACCCCTTCTGGAATCCCCATCATGTCCAGCTGTTAGGGTCAGATAGCTTCAGAGGCAAGTGTAATGCTGCCTTGGCAGGGGGTCTCCATGAGGACACATATCACTTCTGAAGGAGCAATGTGGGCCTCAGAAGCTCCGTTTGATTTTGTTTCAAGGGATGCTGGCAAAGCTGTGGAAGCCCCAAAATTGCCCTTACGGGCTGGTCATCCGCTTCCGAAAGACCAGTTTTTGATAATGCAGATGGGCATGGGATTTTCCTCAGTAAGCTGTGCCAGGGCTTGGTGAGTAAATAAAAAAGCAAAACACAGAGATCAGTAACTCTGGGAGACTGGATGTATTTATGGGAAACAGACCTGTGTATTCCATGTGAAAGAGAAGCAAACCTGGTGTCGTTGGCCAGATGCTCGGCAAGAGCGAGATTATCCTTCATAACTGGAAAATATTTTATCTTTTTAAAAGTGAGCACCGATGTTATATTATTTTTATATGCCAAAGGACCCTGTTCTACAGGCACACATTCAGAAGGTTCTTAGATTTGATAAATTTGAGAGCGAGTAAGCCTTGCAGTGGTACTGCTGATACCAGATATAGATCACACAGATACGAACTGCATTATCTAGAGCATTTTTATTCTGATTTTGAGTTGTGACGTCATGGGCAAGCCTGGGAAACTGTTGATGCAAATTAGGACGTAGGGCTGAGGTCATAATCTGTTGATATCTCAATTCTCTACAAGCGAAATAGTTATGGCAGCTATTTCTTTGGGCCACTCTTTGTCTGCCTCCTATATTTAGGGTGTCAAGTCACTGCAGGAGGAGACTGCCTCTTTCTAGGTGTGTGAATACTTAGCTCTGATCTTGTTTTTGGTTTATATGGCACAAATAGCAAGTATTTGTCAATAGTGACAAATGTAAAAATTTGTCTTCGTTTCCAGTTCCTAAAATGGTAGTGGAGGTATCAAACAGTGTCTACAAAACAGAAGGTGCAGGCTTTGAGCGTGGATATTGAGGGGAAGAGACAGCTTTGTGGGAGCCTTGCTGAAAGAAAGACTGTGCTTGGGGAGAAGGAGGGGAGGTTTGGAAGGGATGAAGGAGAAACTGCCCCTCGTTGAGGGAGGAGGAATGCCTGGGGATGAGGTGTTGCATAAAATCCTCAGCAGAGGAGTGAGAGGGCATTTAAGGCTGAGGATCAGGAGCGGGGTCACTGGCAGTGCTGGCCACGTTATTTTACAGGCTGGTGACACTGCCAGCAGCGCCGGTATTGCTTTGGCCTGAACTCATTCCTGGTTAAGTATCGGCACTGAAGAGGGCCGCCTAGGTCTCACCTCTCCTCTGGGCAGAGGATTCGGGCAGGCACCTCCAGCACGTGATGCATCCTGCTTGGGGTCTACACCACCCTCTGGAGATGCCTCCGTCTCCTGAGCAGAGGGGGAGCCCGGGATGAGTGGGTGTCCACCTTACAGTATTGGTTCCTATGTGGTGATGAATGAAATGGTTCCTCTCACCCATGTCAACACCGTTCCTTCCCCAACTAGAGGCTTTCACAACCCAGAAGGTAATGGACAAAAGCCAAGACTGAAAACAAAACAGGCTTTTCACACTGTATTTTTACCTGATTTATTTATGTTTTGAGTAGAAGTGTGTCAGCATTTTCAGGAAAGACAACAAGTAGACTGTTCCATCCCATTGACAGTCTGATTTTTGCAGATTTCTGCACTCTTGTTTTTTTACAACGGGAAGGAATTTGGAAATTTTTTTTATTCTTGTAATACATTTTTTTTCATGACAATCTACAAGTTTTTCCTGCCTGGTGTTGTTTGTTTGAAAAGCAATTGTTCCTGGCTTTTTATTTCACTTTTTTGTGACGGCACTCACCCACCTTGTCCTATAAAAATTAAATCAGATGGATCATGTCAGAGATCAGCTGAGCTGGGATGAGGTATATCCTTTCTTAATCTGGGATGAGGTATATCCTTTCTTAATCTGCAATGCTGTTGTAAAACTTTCACAGTTCCTAAGAAGACATTGTTTGAACGAGCAAAAAGGGGTAAGTCACGTTAATCGGAGGACTTGTATGAGTAGTGATAGCTTCTTTGCATTGAAATATGAGCCTAACTTACCTAGAAGAAAACGTTCTGGCTCTGCACAGGCTTTGCTAGACCGCGCATTCAAAACACATTTCTTTCAGGACCTTTTCCTTCACTGTAGTTCAGAATTGCCTTAGTGGGTGCACATTTTGAAATACACCTGCCTTGATTATACAAAGGGACACAAATTTTCAGGAGGCAACCTTGAGGAGCAACCAGTGTTGGCTTAACTCTGCTACTGGTGATAACTACAGAAATTATACCATTGATTTCAGTGGGAACAGAATTCAGGTAGCCATAAGTACTTCTGGAAATGTTACCCCACATTTTTAATCAGTTGTATTTAACTAAAACAGTTAATAAAAAAAACCCAAAAGATAAATAATAATAATAAGCAAGCTCCGACTGCTTAAAAAAGGGAAAATCCCTTAAAATCACGTAAAATAAAACCTGCTTTTTTGTAAACAGGCAATACTGAGTAAGCAGGAATTCATGGTCCCATTTAGATGTTAATTGTACTTGAATATTTGAATGAGGATTGGTCATAGGCCTAAAACACCGAAATACTTTAAAACATATTCATAAATAATCATTCCTTATACATCATAATTGTTCTTACTGCATGTCAAAAACATGGACTTCTGTATTCCCCAAAGAAAAATGAGGGATTACTTTTGCTTTCCGCACAAAAATAGTAAAAATAAAGAATTAGCACCACCCTTGAGGGAGTGCCTGGAATACTACCAAATTGTTCTTTATTTGCCTTAGCTTTGTACTTTACAAAAGTCTTAAATATAGGTTAATATGTAAACACTGTGCACGCACTGAGAGTTTGATCCCAGCCTGTTGAAATCAATGGCAAATTTCCCATTAACTGCAGCAGTACAAGACCAAGCTCCAGGTTAGTACGTTACGTACAAGCCGAAGTCATTGAGGGAGCCACGGACTCAGGAAAGCAAAAGCTCAGGTGCTCATTTCAAAACCAGCTGCTGGAGGAATCAGACTTTGCGTCGAAAACCTTGTTGCACATGTTGGAGTTTTCTTGATGGAGAGGGTATTCATTACCTGCCAACAGTTCTGCTTTCCCTCTCTGTGCAGTGTACCGTCTGCCGGACGGTAGACTTTCATACTTCGTCACCTGACGCCTGCAAAGACACAACGTGGTGATCTGGCATTCGCAAATTTATGCAAAATCTGTACCCTGTAGCTGAGGCTAGAGATAAACACTTTACATACAGACGAGATCACACTTCCACAGTGCGTAGGTACAAGCAGAAGATGTTTTTGTATCTACAGAATAACAGATATTTTTTCTTAGGATTTCCCAGAGACCCTCGAGTTCTTTACTTTCTCTCAGGCTTACCATCTTTTGGATCAGAAAAGCCTGAATGGAAATCTGGCACAGGCTCTGCAAATGTTATCACCCTTAGGTCTTAGCAAATAGGGATTAGGAGGGAGTAGTAAACTTCTCACATGGCAATGCAATTACTACTCTGGCTGCTGGAAAGGATCTTTTTTACCTTATTGTGCAGTTGTTTAGCTTTCCGGAAAGTTTGGTGCCTTAATAAAATATGATAGAACACGATGGCTGCAAGAACTTAACACACCAGGTACTTTTGCTGACATTAGTAAAGAGCAGATGATGAAGAAAACTGTCAACTTCAGCTAGTTTACGGCTATGCGCTTCCTCTCTCAACAGCGTAATAGAGAACTACTGCTGGCACAGCTTTAGGTCACTGTCAGAACTGATTGTACACGAGGGAACCAGTGTCCTGCCACTTCAGTTCCAAAACCAAATTAAAAAATGAGACTAAAGTGCACGTTTGGAGCAAGTTGTGATCTTCAGAAACGTCCTTTCTCAATCTCAGGGGTGAGGGACAGGGAAGAAGAGGTTAGCAGAGAGTTTGGTACGCGTAACAGCCAACACTGCACCTTATTGTGTTAGGCTGAAATTTGACCTCTGTTGTTAATCTCTCATGGCTGTGAACACCAAAAGTTTAAGATTCAGGAGCCGGCTGAAACGACACCTCATAAATTGCGTGCTCTTATATCTTACCTGAATGGAGACTCCACTCTGTCCATCTGCATGCAGACTAAAAATGGGTACTGTGAAAACTGCACCGTGGAGATGAAGTCTAATGTCGTTTCTACTTCCAAAGTGGTTTCCATACCAGTTTTTACAAAGAAGGAATCCACCTCGGTGTTACCAGTTAGAAACATGGCTACCCTGCAAATAAAGTCAGGCATTACAGTTAATTCAAAACACATTAAGAAAGAGGAATTTAGATTGCGAGCAGTCCTACCATCCATACATAAAATCTGCCCTCAAGAGCCTGTTCTTCAAGCAAAGGTATATAAGTTCAGATGAGACCAGAGGGAACTGATATTACTGAGGCGGAAAGGAAAAGTGAAGTACAAACATTCTCCCATACAGGTAACTGTTATTTAATTTTAACTCATCTGCAATGTCTTTTATATTTAAATTCTTCTCATTGGGACTACCGGGGCTCAGGAGCCTGAGCTCTCTACAACTATAGCACGCGCTGTGAGTATCTCACCGGTTCTTGACGCTGGTTTTGGATTCCCTGTACCACAGGCTGAACTCCATCCCTCCTGAGATGTCAATGGCGAGGCCACCCAGGAACTCTGCGCTGGCGCTGACTGCAGACCTCAGTTGTTTCCTTACGCAACATGTCGTTTTGCAGGAACAAAAAGGAACAGAGGGCTTTGCTGAAAGGGTGGACAAAACACCTCTGATGTACCTCGCTCCCCAGAAAATGGGCTGAGGCTGAGATGAGGCACCTTGCATTCTTCCAGAGGCTAATGCACCTTAATTGCCACCACAAATTTGCATTTAATGTATTTGCCATCAGCCATCGAGTGTGCTCATGGCTTCTTGAAATCTCTGTGGCTGGTCTGGAAAGGCATCACACGGAGTCCGTTTCGGAAGTGATAATATAGCTCAGGGTCGTGGCAGCTCATTACTTTTAAGTTTTGACGCACAGCCAAGATTTTAAGGTTCACTGAGCTTGGCAATCTGACTCACGTTATACAGTTGTCCTGCCTCTCTAAGAACTAGTGGATTAATTCACTGTTTTAAAAGAATCATTAATTCAGGGAAAGTCTATTTCGATCACGTCCCTTGTGTACAGGACACTTCCTCCTCTCTCCCAGCTGGTTTTCTCACTCCTTCCAGGTTTCTATGCCTGTGGTATTTTCAGCACCTCTAATGGTGCAGGCTTTTGTAGGATGTGTGAATACCCAATTTCCTCCCCCATTCTGATATCCAGGCACCTTAAAAGTCTCTCTTGTCTTCTTAGTTACTCAGGAGCCCAGTGCTTCCAGCTAATGCTGTCCCAGGATTTAAGAAAGGAGCAAGCAGAGACAGTGTGGTTTCCTAATCCCTACAGCAAAGAGCAACATTTGGGGAGGCTTTCATTCAGGCCCTTAAAGTTTTCCTGCCGTAATCCAGGACTTGGATAGTTATGGTGGCTGTGTATGGTTACTTCACCTTTTAAGGTAAATAAACAATTTCTGAAACAACCTCCCTGGCAGAACCAATTTGGCAGTCAGTTGCTGCTGAAGTGAGCACCAGATTTAACGTAAGAATGCAGTGGGCTGGCTGTGGTTTATAAATCCAGCACGCCCCCAGCACGCGTGGTCATGTTGTCCTCCAATTTCTTATTTTCACCCAAGTAAAAATCACAGGTTGGAATTGTGGCCTTTCTGAAATCAAAGGGAGTTTTTCTATTGGCTGCAGTGGGGCAAGGAACACTTTCCTTGTTGGTATGTTTAGGTTTGGAGATAAAGCTTGTTTTACTATATTTTACTTTGCTTTTAATTGGGACTGAATTGGTGGGTAGCTGTTAACGAGCAAGGAGGTAACAGTATACATTCTGGCAGAGACATGTACACACAACCAGAGGAGCAGGTATTTTTAGATGCATTGTCAAATCACACCTAATAATGTTAGAGTAGGCTTGGTCTGCAGTGCTTGCACAGTTTACGGCTTTAAAGGCTACCTAGAATGAAGTCAGGTTTGTCACTGAAACCAGCAGAGAAGCTAAAGAGCCCTTGCCTTGTGTTTTACTAGCTCATCTATTTCCTTCTTTAGAGCTCAGTCCTGTCCTTTGCCTCGTGCAAATCCGATCCAGGCTGATGGGAGGTGTAAATCACAGGGACCCAGCCTCCTCAGGAGCAGTATTTTCATTTCCCTTCCTATTTTAAGTTTTCTATGTCACCTGCAGTGCAAAATGTGATCCGAAAGATCAGAATCAGTACTATGTTACTGTTTAAAATGCTAAAACATTGTATGTTTCAATAAAAATAAGTTTCTTTATATACTGCAGTGACAGCGCAACTGTAATGCAATGCAGAGATGGCTGAAACAGGCACTTATTTGGGAACTGGCTATCTTCCACCGGGGTCTGGCTTTCAAATGGCTTCTCTGACCTATTAATACAGTATTTAATTTCTCTGTGCTTCTGGCAGGTGTGTTGCCTAGGAGAAATATTAACACTACTGAACTTTAATGGAGGTGACTTAGAAGTCTCAAAAACAGTTTTATGAGAGCTGTTTATTTTATAGAGGGAATTGTAACTTGTGGATGGTTACTCTTAGCCCTCAAACAACTCTGTCAGAACGGGCAATGGCTGTAAAATACACTCTAACTTCAGTTTGTGGAGTTATGTGAGAAAAGCTGTTACAGTGGTGGGCAGGAGCGTAAGCTTTAGAAGCAATACTATTAACTTGGAAATCACCTCTCCAAAATGTGTCTATTGTGATTACTGCAGTTGTAAAGTTAATGAAAGGAAGCTATTTTCCAGGGGCGGTAAGGTTATTTGGTGGATTTGACAGCACTTTGACTCAGTTTTGGTCTTTCTATGCAAAATGGTCCCTACAAACAGCAGTAGGGGAACACAAGTTTTATAATATTTAAAAATCCCTTTTCTGAAAATCAGACTACACCAATGCAAAAATTGCAACCCAAATATCATACAAGTTCTTTTCTGACTATTCAGTTGCCCTGTTTTTAAGCTCCTGTCTTGGCTTCCAAGGCATTCTTTTGGTGTTTGATCTCAACTGCGCTGTCTGTGTCCTAACATTTTTTGCCTGTTGTGAAATCCCACTGCGGTCACCAGTGGCACGCTGAGTTTTGGTATAGAATGGGCACTGTTTCCCCTGCCTGGTTTTCTTCTTTGAAAGAAGATAAATCCACGTTTGGCTTGGTTGTCTCCAGTATGAATTTGTAAAGGGGCTTATGTTCCAGGCAAGGCCTGTCCGTGCTGGCCAGGGAAAGGGGAGGTAGTATTCAGCTATCAAGAATCTAGATTAATTATGGCTTTCCTGCACTGTTTTTCCTCAATTCCAGTGTTACACCATTTACACCTCCATTCTGACAGTGTTTTCTGGTACAGCTGTAATCACAGTTCAAGAACTTGACAGGGGAAAGCATTTCTAATGAAGCTTGACTGGGTTATGTGGAAGTGCCCAAGGCGTGTTGATGTAGCTGCTGACCTGGAACATAGCTGTAAAACCTTTCTTAGAAAGATGTGCTGTGTTTAAAATGCAGCTCAGCCTGACGCTGTGTTCAACAGTGCTTTAAACAGTTTTTGCCTTTGGGGGGGCTAGAGGTAAGAACAAATGCCTTTTTGGTTGTGAGGCAGCAACTGTGCTAGTGGCAACCCAAGAGAGAAAGCATGGTGGGATCCCATCTCATCACACTGCTGCTCAGGCTTCCAGAGAGTCAGCGACTGACCAAAAATGTTACACCCTGATATTGTTAAAAATGGCACGCAGTCCCAGCCCTGATGTGCCCCAGACTTTTGTGAAGTTCTTCAAAGACGAGGAGTGGAGAATCTGCTGGCTGGCAGAGCTCTCGGGGTGCCCGGCCAGCTGATTCAGCTGGGGTATGTACGGAGCTTGGTACATGCACAGCAGTTGGAAATATTTAGTTCTGTAAACACCATGCTCGTATGCTCAGGGCTGGACGTGATTATCTTTCTCATCTCCACAACCTGTTTGTTAAATAGGTCACGGTAAAGTTTTTGCCCATAATCTGCGTGTGAACTGTAAAGCATTGTTGGAATGAGCTTTAGTTCGCCAGTTTGTGCACTACGTGGGAAGCCCTCTAGACTTCTAATACCGTTATAAAGGGGCTGAGCTGGGTTCAGCATGGGGACAGCTGTCAAGTGCAGGAGATGTTTCAGTGTAATTTTGATCAGGGTGGATTTTCTCATCATCTGCTTTTGGCAATTTCTTTTGCCAAGAATTAAAGGGGAAAAGTAAAAAGTAAAGTTTGAGCCTGCAGATGTTTCATGAGCTGAGGCTGCTGCTAAATTCACAGGGTCTAAGGAGATCTCTGCTCGGAAAGAACGAAAATATCAAACCAAATGCTGGCCCTGCACTTTCAGAGACATGGCTAGATTTTTAGTCCTCCAATAATACATTATGTAGCCGGGTATATTTGTATATGAGTCTATGCTTAAGCATAAAATTAACAGATCATTTGGGGTGACAGTTGCATACAAATCATGTAATCCTCATTTTAATTCCTGGTTTTGCCTAGCAATAAGTATTTGAAATTTGGACCTCTTAGCATTGTTCTTTGAATGTCAGTTATCTGGGAAAGTTTGAGTATCAGTAATTCATCTGTTCAGTACCTGACAGTTATTGCCTATTTGGACACAGGGTCCTTGGACAACTTGTGAAGAGGAAAGCTTAGGTGGCCACACAGGACAATACCTTATTACAAGAAACTGTGGGAGGGGACGCCATAGCTGATAGCCATACGAGTTTTCTACAGGAAACACAGTTCAATTTGCTTTTATTCAGTGTTACTTTGCTTTCTAGAATGATATGTGTTCTCAACTTTGTTCTAGATTGCTTTTCATGTAATTTCATTCTGGTTTTTAATACCTGTGACTTTTCTATTGCTCCCATAGTAGGAGAAGCCTACGTAACATCAATCAGGTTTATCAGCATCTAAAAGAAAGAAAATACGATGCCCTGCCGTAATGGTGTGGGGGAGGGAGCATCTATGCTTAAGAGACAGAAAAAGAAGCAAACAGTGTGCTGTTAGTACCTGTGAGTAATCTGTCAGGAGGACAAGTCCTTTCACCACGTTCATGGAATCTCCAGTTGCCGAGAACATTTTAGACATTAAATCACCATACCCTTGGAAAAATGTAACTGGCCTCATTTGGACATCAAACAGAATGGCTGACATGCCAGCAAAGGAGTCCAGGTTTTCCTCGCCTTCATCAGGAGTTGCAGCTATTATGGACTCCAGACCTTGAGCTTCAATCACCACCTAAGAAGCAACAGTGATACAGAATCAATGAAAACACTCTGCCTGACCCAGGCTGTTAAGAACCCTACACATTTTCTTAGCGTCTAAGAGCCTAACTCTAATTTATGTAGTTGTAGATTAAAAAGTACAAGGTTAAGACGCAAGGGAACTAGGTGAAGCAGCTAGAAAAATGGAAAATAAAATAATCTCATGGCATGTTTTTTCCCTTTAGATGCAGGCAGAATTTGCCCATGTGCAGATCATAATCCAGAGCCTACTTTTCTTTCAAACATATTTTCCTTTATTCATATGACTATTTTCCACAGGCGGCTGGGAGGAAAACCCAAAGATGTTATGTTATTCTATGTTATACCCAAAACAAAATTTGATTTTACAAAAATTTCAAAAGCTTTTACTAATTACATCAGATAAACAGTGCAGGCTTTGACCAGAGACAGAACTTGATATGTGATACAGAACAAAACACCTGTCTTTTTGACTGGGGCAAACATGCCTCACTGGCTGCTGTGAGTTTCTTTTTCCCCTGTTATTGGCTTGTTTTCTGCCCAGTGCAGCAAACCTTATGGTCTTAAGCATTAGCTGAATTGATTTAGAAATTGTAAGAAGAGGACCACATACTGGCTTAGTTTTTATGTACAGTGTGGCAGTTACCTGGATGGCATGAAGTTCAGCATTTCTATCAAAAATACGGATGTTCAAGTTACTTCTCCTTAGAATGCCAGAGCCTGAATAGAGGATGTCAAGGCTGTATGTGGATGATATGTCAGGCCCACCTTAATTAAAAAAGAAAGAAGGTACCTGTGACTAAACTAGTAGAATAATCAAATGTTTGGGAATACAAACAGGGTTAAAAGGCAGTTTCATGGTTACATACGTATAATATAGCCAGAGTAGGCAGAGGAAGAGCCCATCTTGGAGAAGCGATCATAGTTATGAGCACGCATGTCCTTTAGAACTTTCCGAACTATTTTGCTGTGGTATTTCAAAACAAACAAGAACACAGAGACACAAAAATGTTACGGTACCAAAAGTATTCCTGCTCTATAGAAATATCAAATTTGAGAGAGGGTGAATTTCTCAGTAGGAAAGAGGGTCTTCAAAGCGCTCACATTTTCCCACTAAAAATCTGCCCTAACCCAGAGTCTGGTTTCCAATTTCAGCTGCTCCCTGCAGTCACAGGTAGAAAGGCAAGCAGAAGTCTTGCTTGAAAATGAATGGTGTTGAGAAGAAGAGATACTTTGGTTATTTTCATTCTAGTGCTGTGATGTTTAGAATTTTTCTGGTTTGCTGTTTTTTAAAATACAAAAGCAAGGGCCTCATTGAGAGAATTAAGACCAACAGATGATGTTTCTTACAGTAATGCAAGTTAGATGCCTAATTCTTATTTGTACCTCTGAAAATGTGAATAGCTATTAAATGAATGCAATTGAAATGCAGAGATTTATTCTGAAATATCAATACTTAAAAATGACACAAAAATCAGATGTCCTTTTGTAATCTCCTTGAATTTTACAGTAGTAATTAACAAGAACCTGTGTGTTCTTCAGGTTTCTGCAAAGAAGTAAGGGTGAGCAATATTTATTTATACTGAACTTAATGTACCTCGAAGGCATTTCAAATTCAAGTATATCTTGGATCATGGAGAGCATGTACTTGTTCATTTCCGGAGGCAGTTCACCGATGGAGAGCAGGATGTTTTTCACTTCCATGTAGGATGGGTTACTGTTTAAGATGATAGCAGCTGCAGTGGTTCGCACTGTCTTTTCGTGGACTTTACGGTTCTGGTGGTATATCCTGTTCATTGTTGCCTTCACCTGGTCAGGAAACAGATTATTCAGTCAGTGCTCACATAGATGACTGGGCAAAGTACAGATTGGAATCTCATTTACAGTATCAGCTTAAGCTAGCTCCATAGCTAAGGCTAATACATAAAATATACTTTCAGCACCCTGTTTTTTGTGGTCCTTTGGGAATGCACGAGATATGTATAGCTCAGTGACCACATGGGCAAGTGGGGCATCTGTTATGTTCTCCCAGCCACAGTCCAAACACAGTCTTCTGCGATGATTTTTACAGCAGGGCTGTAAATAAGTACTGTGGCAGTGGTAACACCAAAAGAGGGATTTCCTCGACTGTTAAGGAAATAGGTAACTTAAAAAAATAAAGAACCTTGCGATTTTAATTTCTAGATAATGCCTATGGTGGCCTCGTGTCCCTGAGAAGGTTGTGACACATTTTTGTTACAGATAGGTCTATGGAGAGCCACGTAGCCCCATTGACAGAACAGCCTCCAGCATGTTTGTTGCAGTGCAGCACCCTGGCCGCTTCAGTCACAGCTACCAACCATAGGTATGAAATGGGATGCATGATAATGTAGCAGAGGCAGGACCTCATGTTCCGTTATTTTGTATATCTTCTCTTACTCTTGGAGGCTGCAAGGTAAGACGCAGCTATTTCATCCTTCCTTACTTCATCCATTCTCCCTGGCTATGTGAAAGCACATGGAAGAAGAGGGGTTACGCAGGTGCCCAAGTGTTCCTAATGTCCTCTGTAGGGAGAGCTCTTGGTAAGGGAGCCCAGTTTTCCCTGCAGACTGCCTGCCACCTTCAATGTCTGTGTGTGACTCTGGAGCCAAAGGCTGACTGGGACTGGCAGACAATGTGTAGAGTTTTCTGGCTGGAAATGAAGTGTGTGTAATAATTTCCTGGAGGTAAAAAAAAACCCAACATACATGGGGTATATTTAAAAAGAGTGGGATGGACGAATGAACTCTGTTAATTTATGCTTTATGTTTAATACAGTCTCTTCTGTTTCTTTTCTTGGGCAGTATATTTTCTTACCTCTTTGGTGAGAAAAGAAGGATCATATCTCTGTAAGGCAGTGGCAGCAACATTGCTGATGGGCCCTTCTTCTGACTCGGCGTACTTCAGAAGCAGTGGAATTGCTTCGGGAAGGAGTGCGTTCTTCAGTGCCAGCAGGTACATCCTCACATTGTCGTCTTTCTTAGCCTTCTCCAGTCTATTTAGAATCATCCTTTTGGCTTCCGCAACGGCCTAAAGAAAATCAACAGCACGTTTAAATGGTGATCATAAATCTACCTTTCCCCTTGCAGAAGTAGGAGGGGCAGGGCTGGGTTCTAGAATGTTTCTGTTTCAAACCATCATTGCACAGGGTTAGCAAAGGTGTCATTTGTAACCTTTATGTGGATGGCTTCCTTCAAGCATAACTGAAGTGGCTATAGCCACAGTGACACCTGGTCCGTAGATTTATCGTTTGCTAGCTGCCCCTGCTCTGATTTGGTGACTGATTCAGTGACTTCACAGGTCCTACTTGTGGGGCCAACATGTTCCCCCACAACAACAGACAAGGGAAATGTTCTTTAGTGCTTCATAACATAATGTTATGAAAGTGCTTGGCAATTAACAGGGGAAGGAAAAAGGGATTCCTGAGGGCCATTCAAGTGTTCTGTGTCTTTTCAGCAGTGTGCTGCAATCGTGCAGCACAGATCCAGCAGGCAGCAGTGCCTTGTCTGATCATCCTCATCTTCTATCACCAGCATCTAGCCAGGCCGTGGTTAAGGTGATAGCCTTCCTCCTGGGTTGTTCTACATATGTTTGGGGCAGAGTTGAGTACTTCAACCAACGAATTTTCTTCACAGAACAGAAATAACATAAGGTGATTGCAAATATTAAATAGATACTGAGCTTGCCAGTGTTTCTCTGAGGACATGCAAAGCTTTTGGACAAGCAAGCACAAGTACTGCTTCTGCTGACAGGCCAGGCAGTGAGAAGAAGTTCTGTCAAACAAGGGCAAACTGGGAGAAATCCACAGAAATGGGAAGAGACCAGATGAAAGCCTAAAGCTGACAAAGTAGATGTGATTATTAAAAGCAAAAAAAATCGTCTCTCTCTCCAACATAGGAATTTACAGGCTTATTTTAAAACAGGGGCAATTTGCTTCCCATGTCTCTCCTGCTCTCCTAGTAACATCAGTAGGGATCATTCGCGTGTGTTGCAGACCAGGGTTTGGCCAGGAGTGAACAGCAGATACTCACTGGGAGCTTGCAGCCTTCTTTGTCACACAGCTTTCTGATGAGCGCTCCCATGACAATGACAAGAGTTTCTCTGATGTCTTCATTTGCAATATCACCCTTGAACTTAGCCTGTTATGCAAAAGCAATGCTGTTAGTCTCTCTGTCTAAACATGATGTCTAAACACTGTCTGTAGTGGGCTGAATACCCTCCCTCACTTCCTGTGACCACTAATGCAATGCAAAGGCAGCGATGACCACAAAGGCCTGTGCTCAGGCTAAGCAGAGCACTGCTCTATCATCACACACAATAATTGACTGCCATTTTCCCCTTGAGTTACATTCAGTCTCAAATAGTAGAGTTATTCTGAAGCTATGTTTAAAAAAAAAAAAGAATATTAAATGGTTACAGGACTTCAATAAGGCAACAATCAAACAATCCTAAAATTGTTTTGCTAACACTCAGAAATATTTTTGTTTTCCAAGTAGTAGATACTGATAACATTTTACAAAGTAAACAGACTTTCAGTCTGGACCTTCGGATTTTTGTTGTGTCCAGGCTATATGCTACTGGCACACTTAAAGGAAACCCTGGAAGGGGTAAAGAAAGGAAAACAGAAAACAGTAACAGTTGTTTCTTCTTCCTTTCCCGTTTGACAGGAATGAGGCTCAAGAGTATTAGCCCGGTTGTATTTTTTTTGTCCTTTGACTTACAGTTAAAGATTTCAGGAGCGTTTCACTGGGGTGAGAAGCAAATCCACAGGCATATAGGAATCGCTCCTGCAGGATAGAAGTGCTTGCATCCTTAAAGTCAAGAAACTCCAGCATGGCCTCCAGTGATGCTGGGGTCTGAGCGGAGGTTACGGCATCCACTACCTGCGGACTACAAAGAACTGGAAATTAACGTATCATTGTAATGAGCTAGAGAATACTGAAAAGACTTTGCTGCATGTGGAAAGAAAGAAGCTAATGTGCTGAAAGATCTCTTCATTGCAGGTAAGAGGTAGAATTTTTTGCTCTTGTTGAAGAAAACTGTGTCCCTGAATTCTTCCACCTCAAAATGGTAGATGAAGTCCAAAATTACTTATATCCACTGATAATAATATTTGAATTCATGCAAATATGGAACCAAAAAAGTATTACAAAATCAGAACTACCCAGAGTGTCTTAGAGTTTACAGGATAAGGTTGTAAATCAAAAAAAGTGTTTTATTTCTACATACACAATTGCAACTAGAGAACAGGCTTCTACACTGAGTTACTCTCAGGTTTATCTCTATTGTTAACAACTGCTATAAGATCCTTTCTGTATGGTGGGACTTGGAAATGCTTTCCAGCTTCCAAGTCTAAGTGCACATGCTGTTCACATGCAAACTCTAATATTAGGACAATATCCAGACGCAAACCATCCCTTTCTTTGCTGTACCTCCATTTGAAGGAAACAAATGGCAAGTCAAGAACAAGTTATAGAGTGTTTCAGAACAAGCAGTTGAGATGAGAACCTTTGGGTAAGCTACAAAGCATGGTTGCCTTGCATTCTACCTATAATCTTGGTGGCTGAATAGTGTGCTGCAAATATATTATGTCACAAGAACAAACACAGCTTTGAAAAAACAAATCCTTTTCCTGTAGACAGGACTGAATACTGTTTTTTTAATTGCTAGGACATCACCAGTAGAACTGAATGTGTTTGCATGCAATTTGCCCTTCCGCAGTTTTAAGTAAGTTAAACTTTTTGAAAGCTTGTGCATGATGACTTACAGAAGTTCTTTATTTTCACTTCTGATAATCTGCAGTATCTCCTCTTTTGTAGCTTTTCTGATGTTCTGAATGAAGGACAAAAAGCTTCTTACTGCTTCAGCTTTGGAAAGTTTTTCAGGATACATATGTTCTCTCACGCTCTGCCAGTGTTCAGAAAGCTGCAAAATAATTCACATTATGTCAGATCTCTCAGATTGTGGTTTCAGTTCTCAAAGTCAGACTTTAACTAAATGCAGATATGTAGGCCAGGTATTGCTCAAATTAGCTGAAATCCAATAGATTGCTGATCCTTTAGCTAAGTATTATTTAATTTATGATATCCCAGTGCAAATATCTTTGAAGACTTTCTATGTATCTCTCTCCTTCAACACTTTAGTATTTTGCTGATAATGCACATTGACTTAAATGCAATCTATTTTGGAACAAAATGATTATTTATACCGTAACTGGAATAAGGTGAATTCTCTTACAAATTTACTGTGCTTTCTGGTGAACATGGTGCTTGCCTTCTGCTCCCATTTTCTCCTAAGTCATTTTTTTTAAAGTGGGAGATGCACAATCTCCAACTCACAAATTAATCATATTGTTTTAGAAGGTGGTAATTTTGTAAGTGGTTTGTGTAGAACAGAAGTAAATGTCCCACAAGTAATTAACATTTCTTATTCATAAACCTGCAGAAGATGGGGAAGGATTTGTGGTTACTGGGCAAAATGATAGGTAAGATGGTATTAGAACAGGTATCAGCTTCTTCATATGTGGTTGCTGTATTTATTCCACACACAACATTTTTGACCTGACTGAGCCAAGATGGTACCAAAGCACCTATATCTGTCCTTCCAGATACACTCCCAGAAGACACTGGTTCAGGTATTTTGACCTTTCATCTCTCACTTGCCTTTGCCTCTGTTATCTCAAATTATCAAGAACATTCCTTGGTGAAAACTCAGCTGTTCTTTGCAGCAGTGTTTACTGCAGTTTTCCCAAGTGGGAAATAACACTAGCACCCATTTGACCTTCACTAAAATGTTTCCCCTCTTCATGGGTTTTGTATTAGGCAATAACCTTGAACCTGCTGCCAAATAGAAGTATCATTCAGCAGTACATAGTGCAACTTCCATCAGCTGTAACAAACAATAATTAGGCAACAATGATTGAGACATAGGATATTTCCTGAGGATTAATGACCAGCTGGGAGGAGCTCATGTTCTGAGGCACAGATGGGTCTGTTAACCTCAAGTGGTGATTAGAGCTTGGCACCAAGGTCAATGCGGCTATTATAAGCTGAAATTGGATAAATATATGGGGAACTTTCTATTGCCCCTGTTGAAGTTGCAACATAGCCTGGAAAAAAATCTCTAACCTCATTAATCCTATATTTTCTCCTGTGCAGAGCCCAGCTATGCAGGCTGCTCTTAGTCAACTTAGCCCATACCCTAGAGACAAGCAAGGTGGAAAATGCAAGCTGGAGCCATCTGAAGGAAAAGAGAGTGGAGACCAAGTCTTCCTCTTTGGAGGTGTGCTCTAACCATTCAACTGCTTCAAGGAGCAGCTGCCGTCTCCTCCATGACTTTAAAAAACAGGATTCACAATTAACTTTTGCAAGGGGCCTCATTCTCCCAATGTGAATGTCAGGCAGTTTGGATTGAATACCCAAGGATTCAGGCACAGATGCATGCACTTCCACACGGCAACTCAGCTGAGCTCAGACACAAATCTGTGTTTCTCTGCCAGAGATCAGACCAGAGGTCTTGTGGGTCAAGCCAAACCAAGAGGTCCTAAACTGAGCAGCTGCTTTACCAGCCTACAACGGTTGGCTGCACAAAACAGAACAAACCCACCTCAGTTTCAGAATGGGCAAACATTTCTGTAGGAACCATGAGCACAAAAAAAATGTCAGAACCATGAGCTCTTCTGAAAAGAGCATGCTTTATGATGTCTAAATGTAGAAATGTAGGCCTAAATTTAAATGTAAATGTTGGCCGTAACCTCACTGAAGCTAGTGCTGCTATCTGTGAAGTGCGGTTAGTAACGGTTATTTTACCAAATTCATAAAGATAGAGATAAGACCTGTTATGACTGAAAAAGGGTTTTGTAGGGCATACCATGTCAGCATGGCATTAATGTATACTATGATATATAAGTACCAAATGTTATGTTGCTGCTTTGGATACGGTGTTCTGTTTATAGACTCCATCTTTTCATAGCAGTTACTGTAAAATACAGCGAGAAAGCAGGACTTCATTCTCATCGTGCCATTAGGTTTATAAGGACTTAGCTCAGTCCCCGGGCAGTGCTCTGGAATTATACCCTGTGTTTGTTATCTTGGTCTCGAAATTATCTCTATAACTATTATGACAAACTCAGTTCCAAGAGACAAATTGGTCAGCACGAACTCCGATGGTCAAAGTCAGGGAAAAAGCACCTGTCCCTGCGCTGTTTAAGATCCCTTGATGTTCCCTGCTCAGAACTGCTCCAGCATGCATGCAGCATCATTTCTAAGTCATTTCCCCCAACATACTTTTTTATGTTCTCTGTGGCTCAACAAACATTGGACAAGATAAATCATTACAGTGCAATGTTTTAAATAACTATCACAAGTTCCAGTACAGTAAGGTATTTGTGCTTATAAGGAGTATCTCTGGAGGATTAAAATTATGTGTGCTGAACAGAAGCCTTATCTTGCTTATCAGAAGCTGGCAGAGAATAATAACCTTTAAATTAATGTTCCCATTCACTGCTAAATTCATTCCACAATGGCAATAGCATTAAAACTATTTGCCAACAATCACTGCAGCAATTTATATTAGCTTATGATTAATAGCATCAGTAAAACAAAAAATGATGCATTTACAGTACCAAGCTCTTTGTAGTCTTTAGATGTCTTAAATATATTAAAAAAAAAAGTGTGAGGTTTTTTTTTTTCAGGGGAAAAATGAGAACTGTATTGGGCTTACCAAGAATACTAAAGCCCCATTTTATACTTACAAAATACCTATATAGTCTTTTAAATAAAAGACTTACTTCAGGGTCAGGCAGTAAGAAAGGGCTAGATATATTACCAACAAATGTTTAGCCTGCCTAAGGAATGGCTAACTACCTTTAATTTCTAGGAGTAGTTCAGCTCCTCCATAACAGAATTGTTTATAAACACTGGCCAACCATCTTAAAGGTAATTTCCCACTCCATCACCCAGAGGAAATAAGCTCCTGCCAACTCAAAGCTGGCAACGATGAGATAAAACGGTGTTGTGTTTTCTAGTGGTCTTCAGAAATACTGCACTCAGTCTTTGAAATAGAGCAAAAAGGTTGGTACTTTTAGAGATAGATCTTAAAATACACTTGTGTGGTGGAGCACCATTGCGCCACTACCATGCTCCCCACTCCGGGGCATATTTTATGTTGGTACATTAGACTTCTCCTAGTGGGCTGCTTGGAGAGAAACTTCCTTCACACTTGTTCTGCTCAGCTAAGCGACCTGATGCCCGATGAGCCTGTGTTTACTTACCGAAGGACAGTTTTTGCATTTGGATTTGACTGGCTCTGCTACTAGTGGCATGGCAACATAACTGGAGTCCAAGGTCTTGATAACACTGTCAACTTGCTTCGCAGCGATTAGTCCAGGGCCAGCTTGTACTGACTTCAGTTCCAGTCTCTGCCTGTGTATCCATACAGTGAAGACACTGTTAGAACTCCACCACTACAGCAGATATGCAGAAATCACAGCAAGAGGAAACAAAAAAAAACCCACTACAGACCAAAAATATAGAACACAGCTTACTGAAGTCTTATTTTAAAATGTTCAGAACATAGCAAGTCTATGACTTTTTTAAGGTAACAGAAGTATCTGGTACCAGCAGAATTACTGCTAGAGATATGTGGCATAAAATACCTAAATAATAGACTTTCTAAAGTATGGATTTATAGCACCTGGTAAGCAGCCTTCAGTAACCAGATACATTTTGATATGTTTCATGTATTTGTTCAGAAGATCTGGAAAGTGAGATTTTGAATGTACGTATTTTTAATATCATAATATTGAGGAGATGACTAAATCATTTATCTTGTATGAGTATTTCCAAACTTTTCATGTTTTAGAGTCTGGAGTCTAACACAGATCTAGGTTTCACCATTGTCTTCTCTCTATGCTGCATGTTCTGTTTTCTATACTTCTGTACTTTCACATGCTAGAAATGGAGATCCACGAAGCATTTCATAAGAAACGAGATGACAGAAACAGAATATCTGCAGAAGTAATGTGTTGCTTAAGATGTTTTGGCCAATTCCAGCTGTTTTAATTTAATTTCTTATGAATGCCTTTTTTGTTATCTGCAGTACAGTAGAGCTCTCAAATGAAAGTTGGACTAGGTACCATGGGAGTACAGAAGAGATCTAAATCCTTACCTGGAGAGTTTACAGCCTTAGATCTTGATGCTATAAGACATACACATATAACCTGACTTGAACTACTAGTCCTGCTACCATCAATGACAAATTGCCCAACTTACTTTGAAACTATTTTGGCACCTGTTTTTCGTTGGAAATTCAGAAGCAAAACATAATTTTCTTCTGCCTTAATGGATTTAATGAAACTGTCTTCCAGAACATAAATTGTGGCAGATGTGGCTTTTGTACCAACATCCAAAATCTGAAAAAAAATTGTAAATAAACCAGAAAAAGGGCTGGTCAATAAACAATAGAATAGGAAAAGAACTCGCAGTTCCAAATTAGGGCAAAACTCATAATGAAATAGAGCCAAATGAGGAAAGCGCATGTGGGTTGACAACATCTCAAGCTAAGCCTATAAGCCAACAACAAGAAGAAGCAACAAGAAGCCACTCACTTCTGCACCATGTGTTTCAAATTCAATTTGTACCAGGAGGAAAAAAAAAGGAGATGGAGGGGAGGAAGTTACTGAGCAGGCCGCAACTGAGAAAATGCCTGGTACTACACTTTTTATTTATTTGCTAGTAGTGGAGGACCATTAAGGCCACAGTAGGGCTTCAGTTACCTCTTCCATCTCCTACATTACACCTGTGCATTAGGGAAGCCTTTGACCGAGCAAGGCTGACCAGGCTCCATTCAGGAGTCAACATCTTGCCTGGCATTTATTGTGCACACTAAATGCTGTGACTTAGCAGCTGGGAAAAAGATTACTGTTGTCACTATGGCTGTGATTGTACCTAGTATTTTCCTCCAGAGAAAAAAGAAGCCTCATATTGATTAAAACTTCAGTACAGCCAGGACAAAAGTGCTGTAAATCTGCACAGAAACTAAAATATGTTATAGATGAGATAAAAAAATTATGCGAATTCATGTGCTGTATTCAATGCCAGCTGAGCCAAAGTGGTTTACAAAAGAGGAGAATCCATTCCCTGTTCTCCGCATGGGTACTACATATGAAATCTGTACTGGCAATACTACAAAATGTACATGTAGAATTTGCTTTCTGCAATGCAAGACAAGACTTTTGAGAAAATGAGTAATAGCTACTAGGAAAATATTTTAACTAGGCAGAACAGATTTTAATTTATTAGAGAAATCATACCTGGTTGTGACTGGTAAATCCTTGTTTTTCTGTTTCACAGGAGTCTAGAGCTTTTATTTTAGTCACTTGATCTTGCCGCACATGATAAGTAGTATTGCATTTCCCAGATATGTCCACCTTGAAAAAAAAGAGTTAGATTAGGACAAATTTCTTGAATTTATCTTTGGGACCCCAGAACACCTTCCAAAGATGAATAATTTTCTCCATTGTTGGAATCCTGTACCTGAGATACTGCACTGTTTGGGTTTATTTACCAGTCTTGAAGGTATCAGTGTTTCTAACTACCTGCTTTGCGTAGGCAGAGGTACTTCTCATTAGATGGCTATGAAGGAAAGTAACAACATTTGTTTAAACAAAAAATTTAGGAAACATCTGGCAGTTGGCACTATACTCACAAATCTGAGTTAAATTCCAGCTTGCTCATGTGGACAGATGTACAAATTTAACAAAGTAACACAGGTTAAATGAACGCAGCTAAACCATTGCTAACTTTGTGTGGATACTCTGTCTGATTTTAAATGGCCTTATCTGTTGTATTGATCTTAAGAATCAACCGACTTTAAACATCAGTATAATCTCTTTTATAGTGACCTTATTAAAGTTGGTATATTGCCAAATTCTGCTAAATTGGTAGGAGCATTTGAAATCAAATGGATTTCACCAGTTCTTTATGTTAATTGCAGAAACTTGACTTGTGTCACCAAATACTCAGAAGGCTGCCTTTACGTCCCCAACTTCAAATGCGATCAGAGGGCTGATGTCTGTCACATTTCATTCCTTCTGAAGTCAGTGGGAGCCACAGGTCTACCTTTCAGAGCAGGGCGGGCTCTGCCTGTTTCTCTGACGTTGATTATCTTGCCAGTAGAGCACCGTACCTCATGGGAAGTGCCAGAGTGCAGCTGTAGCTGGAAAAGGCTAGCCAGACCTCTCTTAATGTTTTGAGTAAACCCAGGTTCATTTTGATACGAGTAGAAGTTTTTGACCTGTACGAATAAAAAGCAAGTATATAACAAAGCTGGTTAAGTGAGAAAGGGATAGCAAGGATTCCCTCTAGAAAAACTCCCTTAATTTTTTCATGATTAGGAAGCTGAATTTGGACCTGTTTTCCTTATTTAAGCAAACTCCAGAGTCTGCGGGGGCTGCCAATAGCACTACAAACATGTTTTAGTCTTTAGCTGTACCTAAATACTGTTTCAGTGCAGGGAGCACCTTTCCTGCCTGTTAATTAGCGAGAATTTAGAAGGGAAATGGGAAAATTTACGTAATCTCACAAGTGACTCCTTTTTCTGCATAATCCTCAGATAATCCTTCCCCACACGCACATAATGTCTGTTGCACTTTAATCACGGATTACAAAAACCCAGAATGAATCAAAGGTAAGTCACAGTCAGAATGACTTAAACGATGTGTCACTCAGAATGACTTAAACAACGTGTCAAACACATCACAACCTTTGCACTTGTGGGTCAACTGTTGTGCTTGAACCTCTCCTCTGGTAACAAGACTTTGCACCTCCACTTTGCCTTCAAGGTGCTTTGGAAGTGCACTTTTTTCTGGAACTGTAAGTATAATCAGTGTGTTATCTTGAGGCAATGCTGGAAAGCTAAATCACTGTGCCAGGGATGAAAGTATCACACCACAGAGAAATCATAAAAGGAGTGTACAGATCCTACTACCTGAGAAAAAGCCCAAGTTTTTAATACTGATCCTCAACCTTAGCGTGTGAACTGCTTCTGCCCAGCGGGTTTGCAACGTACTGGGAGCAAGTGTATTTTGACTGTGTTCTTCTGACACCTCCGTCCTCTTTTAGGGATGTGTACAGTTGGGAGCCAGTGCTGTCCTGTTTCTTTTTATGTTGTGTAAAACTGATGACAAGGCTGAGTCTGAAAGTTACTGAGCGGGCCTGATAGCAGCTGCAATTCAGCAGGCTGAGCTGGTGGCCGGGGTATGTGCTCAGTGCCTATTTAGAGCAGGAGGTAAAGATCCTGCCGGGATAGGGTGTCACAGCCCTCGCTCCGCTCTGCAGAAGAGAAAAGGGAGTGTGACCTTCAACCTTCCTCCTTTCTCGCTGCCCCTCTGCCCATGTCCCGCCTGCCGAGCATTGCTTGGGCTGTGGAGGGGAGAGCGGGGCTGTTGGCCTAATGCACCAAGCAATGAGAGGCTGAAGGAGCGTGGAGAGGAGGCAGGAGCAGCCGTGGCTCAAGCCCTGCCACTCCCTGGCCAGAGCAATAGGCTGAGTACAAGGAGACAAGTGAGCAGCTCTGCAGAAAAAAAGAGGAGGAGATGAATTTACTTGATTCCCCTTCTGAGCAAAGCTGGGACGCTGAGAGCTGCAGCGGGACATGGATGCTCCCGTGGTGGGACAGTGCTTCGGTGCTCTCTCAGGGCAGGCTATAAAACCCAGGCACACACAGAGACATGCCTGCTCACTGTCCCTTCTCCTCTGATTTTTGGGAACAGTTTCCCAGTAGAGGAACAATATGAAAGGCTGTAGCTCTTTCAGCATCAAGCTCATTAACTCAGGACCACTGAAACTTCAGGTGACACTGAAGTAAATAAGTAAGCCGGAGAGGTGGGAAAAGCAGTCACGCTAAAATATTTGCTAAGGCTTTAAAGTGATTGACACTGTTCCTCACAGACTCAAGTACAGCCTCCCTCATGGCAAATTGTATCTCCTTTTCTGCCTTCAGACCTCAGATAAAATCCTGGCCTCACTGAAGTCAACAGCACACATCCTACACAGCAATTGTGCACATATCTGCATATGTACCCATATATTTGTGGCCACTCTGCTGTTTACTTCTACACTGTACATTGTTGTCAATGCACAAGAGGCTTGGGGTGGAAGGGCCCCTTGTACAGGTGAATTACTTTCTGTTCTTAACTACTGTATTTCTTATAGAAAGATATGACACGACAGCATATTCAGAACACCGAGAGGATAGGGAATTGGTAAATTCTCCAAGACTGTAAGAAAAGATTTGTCTCAGGTTTCCTTACAGATTGAATTTTAAAAGATGGGCTCTTACTTTTCCACGGACTAACTCAAGAACTATGGGCCTCTGCAAAGCTTGCAGGTATTCTTTCCCAATGATCTTCTCTGTGCTTTTTCCATTGAAGATGTTTTTAGGAGCTGGACGTTCATTCACATTTTCAACGTGAACATCTTTTATCTAGCAAAGTAAAAGCAGAGAAAATTCATGCAGAGAGCATTCTAGTATTGGCCTGGGCTAGGCTGAATAGACTAAATCACCTAATACATCTTTTTTATTGTTTCATTTCTGGTTCTGACCATTAATCTTCCATGATTACTATGTCTACATTTTCAAAAGAAACCAGCACTCACCACTGGTGAAATCAGTGGCAGAAAAACTCACCGCAAAGCTAAGTAACAAACACAGTTCATATATAGCAAATGTTAATGCAGCTAGAACCAAGCACTTCAGACAACCTATTGCCCCTCAGGTAGGTGCTTGCACACCAGTTGTTTGAAGCTATGGAAGTTGTATGAAGCAATTTCAAAATATAGGAGAAATTCTGAAGTTCCATCTTATGATGTTAGATACATTCTTGTGAAGTCTTATTCTACAGGAATCAGCTTATCAAAGAAGCTGGGTTTAGCTGATAAAACTACAAAAGAATAAAAGATTTATTTTAATTATTTTAATTATTTTCATCTTCTGAAAACAAGTTCTTCAAGACTAGATTAGCAGTTGTATAAATGCAAAAAAGATTGGGCATGTTTTAAGTTGTCTGATGGCATTAATTACCGTAATTTTGATCAACTGGTCATCATCATTGTCGGGATTTCTCCATAAGAGGTTGACATCCACACCAGAAGAGATCCGGTAGCCTGCACTTTTCTGCAGTGATGCTTTCACCTGATCAACATACACTTCAGCTGAGTAAGCAAATTTATATAGCTTGTCATTACTTAAGCTTGGTCCAGTAGTGTGGCCTGTTTGGAAAGCAAAGACATACTTACTTAGTGTTTTAGAATTTACTAACTCACATAATCTGTCATTTTACCTAAAAAAAAACACCTTTAGAAAAATTAAAAAATTAATTGCCAACAAAAGATTTATGGGACTGATCCTGCTACCCTTGATTACAGAGGTGTCCCACTGGAGCAGTTGGGAATTTTCTGTGATTAAGTTGACACTAATCTCACACATTTAAGATAAGAATGTCCACAAAATCCTTTGTTCTAGCTCTACAAATAAATAAAAGAGAGTCAAATTCTTTACTTGGATATGTTAGCATTGGAAATTAATCCAAAATTATTTGCAACTCACAATACTGTAATTAATCATGCAATTTGTGTGCTTAGCAATTTGAAATGCACTGATGTATTTTTTTTGAGCCAACAGAAATTGTTCTCTGCACCTCTTGCATGTTTCTTGGGAATCTTTCCATTGAGAGCCTTCCCCAGGAGTGAGATGAATGTAAGGAAGTCATTGGGAAAACATGTTTTAAACTATATAATTGTCCCTGTAGCTGTGCCTCTGCTGTTAATTAATGTAGTTTAAGGGATATAAAAAGCCAAATTCTAGCATAAATGCAACTTGCATACCAAATGTATGGTGCCATTTACATCTGCATTAACAAATTGGACAGGCTCTTCCTTAGGGATTCAGTTGCACTCTTCTTAGTGTAACTGAAATCCGTAGTATACAAATGACTTTTGTTTTTCCTTTATAAAACTACTTACTACCACATGCTTTCCTGTCTTTTCTTTCTCTTCTCTCACGCAAAGCCACGTGGGGAATGTGTGGCACCAGTGTCACAACTCTCTACCCAGCCTCAGGCACAGGCATGAAGATTGTGCCCCTAAAATCTGTGGCTAAGGAAAATCAATTTCTTCTTGAATACCCTTGAATATTTTGTCACAAATGGTATACACAACATCCCTTTTCACTGCTTTCAAGGGCTTTCCTCCTCTGGTGTGGATGGCTACAAAGGTCTCTCCCACACAAGAAAAACTGATGAAGTCAGTTTGTAGAGGGAAGGGAAGGGAGGAGAAGCTGGCTGTACACAAAGTGCTGTTACATCCACAAAGTAAATACACATACAGTGACCTTAGGTGCTATCTGTAAGCAGCACGGCACTAGCCTCTCAGACCTGAACAGTGCACCACTGAATCCATTGGGAATTTCTTCATGGAGTACAGGAGGTGCAGAGCAGAGGAAAACATTCACAACAGAGTTAATCTAAGAAAAGCAAAGTGCTATCCTCAGGGAGATGCATCTCAGTCTTATGGATGGGGGAAAAAAAAGGAAAAATCTATCAAAACATCTCAGACAAATTCTTAAGCATGCTGTAATGTCATTAGTGTGTTCAAAATCCCTTGAAGAGAATCAACAGGCTATCATGAGTTATGTCATGTCCCTACTAAACAAATGTCAAATCACTACATTGGTAAAAAGGAAAACCAAAGTCTTTTCTTGTTTCACTCTCAGATTTTAAATCCCAGTTAGGTGGGTGGACAGTGTTGTTGCAGCACGGCTGTTGGATATATACGGATATACTCGGCAGTGCTCAAAGAGTCCAAAAACCTCTTTTTTAAAGGTTTTGCTCGCTTTCTTCCCATGTTCACTCAGATGCCATAGCAGCAGATTAAAGTAAGCTTCAAAGAACCTTTTCTTGAGAAAAACAGTGACCCCACCAAATCTGGTCTGCAAGTTGCATAAATTGGCAAAGCTACACAGAACTAAACTGACTCGTGCTTTACACCAGCTAGAGATGCGGCATAGCAACTTCGGTATTCCCGGGGGGAGCAGCCTGTTTGCATGTGAGAGCTAAAAGCTGTGACTATTGATTTTTTTGCAGGGATGCTGAAGCATTAAGGTTGGCACGATGAGGGTCTTCTGGTTTTGCATGTCTTCTGTGTCTGCTTTGAAAAAAAGTCACCCAGAGGTGTACAAACCTTCCTTCAGGTTTACTGTGAATTTCCTAGCCAGTCCCCCAATTCCCCACACTCCCATCAGCTTTGAAGCTCCATTGCCCTTGGGAGTAGGGGGTCTCGGTGCCTGCCCAGAGATGGCTGTGCCTTTCAGGGACGCCCCTGGTTCCTTGCAGTGCCTTGGAGCAGGTTGCTTCCTGGTTCCAAACGTCCTTTGTTTGCAGCAGAAATGTCAGCGCTAACGATTTAATATCAGCTGAGATATTATGAGTGCCACCCACTAGGTGCTTTCTAAATGCACAGGGCAACACAATCTCACCTAAAGATAAAGGTGGGGCAAAAGCACACCCAAGAAAAATGCTCTGGGTGCTGAAAGACATGTGTCTCATTAATTAGGGTGGATGTTGGTGGTTTTGCTCCCTCTCTCTTTGCACTTAAAATCACCTCTCACCTATCCTCTTCCTTTTCCTACAGCTCAACCCATAGATCTTTTTTTCCTTTTTCAAGAGCTCTTTCATAAATTTCCCTCTTCTTTCATTTTAGCATTTGTTTGTCCTCCCATAAAAAATGAGCTGTTCCCTCCTGAAGGAAACAGATGAGCAAATGGCACAGCAGCTTCTTGCAAGTGTCATGGAAAAGATGAATAATTGCGAAGTATTTCCGGGAGCTAGAAGAACATTAGGTTCTGAAAGATTTCACCATCTCATACGCGGAAAACACAGCAGGAGCCAGGGCAGAAGACACCTTTAATTGCTAGACTGATGTCACTGATGGAAACGGGTGAGCCAGTGGTGGATCACAAGAGGCAAAGCATCAGGGATGAGGCAGTATTGAAGGCAGTCCCAAGGAGTTAGCGCTTACCCTGGTGGAAATGGCCAAGCCAAGAGAGGCAACTGGATTGCATGGTCAGTTTGAGAGGCAAGGGGGATATTGGTGGCCGAAGGACAGAGACACAGTGTCACTGCCCAGAACGAGTATTCAAAACAGCATAGCTAAATTTTCATGCCATCTTTCATGAAGAAACGTTGGTACTATTTAAAAAGGAATATTCCTACGCTTTTCTGATAGAAACTTTTCTTAAAAATAAAACCCCTGCCTTTCGAAGCTTTTTCCTTTGTATTCAGCACAGCACTAGGATCCTTGCTGCCCGTATACCCATTGCCATTTCAGCTGATGGCAAATGTCCCACTGACTGACAAGAGAGGAGGGATGAACATAAAGACTGCAATCAGCCGTGCTCTCCTGGGGTCAGAAGTGCCTGCTTTCAAGGTGGAGTGCATAACACATAGTTTGACTAGTAATGTTAAGTGTCTGTCATTAAGGGTAACATGCCAAGTCTATAATTAAATCATGATACTGTATAATACAGAAGGTTACACTGCATAAGTGGAGACAGCTGTCAAGTCCTGTGCCTTTTATTAATACACATGGCATGCACAGCATGCGTGTCTCTAACTACTTGCTAGCTCTACCTTCATAAATTATACTTGCCACTGTTTCTGATACCGGATAGCTTTAAAAAGCAAAATCCATCAGCTTCTTTGAAAACATTTTTCAAGTGGAACTGCAGTAGGAAAGTTTCATGTGTGCTGATCTAGCTGACTTAAAAGAAAAGAATATTCCTTCAATATTTCCGAAAGGCAGCGTGGCCTGGTGGAAAGACAAAACACCCGTCCTAATCCCAGCTCTGTCACTGAGGGACTAAGTGGCCTTTGGGCCAGTAATTTAGCTCTCAATCTCTCTGCACGAGATGAGACCTGGCAGAGCTGAAGGGAGGACTAGTTAATGAGAAAATGCTTGCTCAGTACCCTGGGGATGTAAAGTGACAAGCAAATATTACTTCACATCAAAAAGGAGCTTTTCTTAATTGATATTAAGGAGAAGCTGGGAAAGGCAGACACCAGAAATGTGGCACATTGATATCTAGCCATAAACGTTACTTGGCAGTCACACAGAAATACACTCACGGGTAGAGGAACTGCCTGCAAATTTCTCTGCTTTATAACTCCTGTCACAAGTGGGTGTGGAGGTAGGGAGGATGGTTGCTGCTCTGTGCTTACACAGATACAGTGTCCTGGATCCCTTACAGGGAGCAGGAAGAGGCACCCACGAGAGCACCTTGACAGCCTTTTTAACAGTTTAACCTAGGATGGCGTGCCCCTCTGCTCCTCATTATGATGAAGACATCCTTGTTAAACTAAAAACTACATGGTGGCTCACGTTTTAAAGTTGCTACTTCTCTAAATTTAATATCAGGGTGTATGCAAAAGGCCACTACTAAAGACACCTTTCCTTGCTTCATACACTGGCACTGCTGAAGCGGGCAGTCTCCGGATTTCATACTCTTGACCTTTGTCAGGACACCTGAGTAACGCCCTGCTCCCAGGGCTTGTGCAGACATCCAGGTTTTCATGACTTATTGCAGAGCGAGCTCCCCATGACATTAATGGGACGCTTGTTCCTGACTTCTGTGATAGCTGAGTCAACTGCTCAGAAGCTGAAACCCGGAGAGCCCTGAGCCCTCCCTGGCTCTGCTCCACCGGAGCACTTCTGTGTGTTTAACTTTCGAGCGTCTGAACAGTCCCTTTCAAGTTGGTCCCCCCACAGCATGTCCTGACTAAGCAGGGTCAAGATCCCCGGTCTCCCACTGCTGGCCCTCTGCACCTGAAAACACCATCTCCTCCATCCCCTCTGCTGACATGAATGCTACAAGCACTTAAGCCTTCGTAATTACTAAATGCATCTTGCATTACTCAAGGATGGATGAGTAAAGATGATCATTTTTGATGCAAAACAGATCTGCATACACACACTGGTTATGCCTTTGCTGAGCCAAAAGCTGAACCAAGCCTGGTACAGACCTACCTTTAACAGAGGCTGAGTAAGTGGAAATGATGCAAAGGAACAGCACGGTAAGAAGAATCATGCTGGACTCCCCCGAGCTCCTGACTGCAGCATGAAGCGTGAGAGCCTCCAAGAAGTGAGCTGCCGAGAGAGGAAGGACGCTTGCAGAGAGAGCCACCAGGTCGGCCACACTGTTTATCTAGATGTAGTAAAGGTCAGATTCCAAATTCCACACTCAGGTACTAAGTTCATCAAAGGACTTCCAGTTAATTATTAAGAACTAAGGTAACTGGTGGCTTCTGCCCCATTTTATCTATCGCTTCAGCTTTCATTTTTGAATACTGAGCCCACACAGCCACATTTCTGAGCAGAGGAGCCCACCTCCAGTCCTGGCAGAACCAGGGGCTCCCGCCACCCCTCCTCTGTCTGCACAAAAGGGCGTTGGGGTCTGTTGCTGCCAGGGGCCAGACCCTGACTGCTGTCTCCACTGTCTTGTATCATCTCTGTGAGCAACCCCAGAGGCAGATGCTTTTTAAGGGTCTTCCTGGAAGCAGAAGCAGATGGGATTTATCAGTTCCATACCAAAAGGTGATGCTACTTTGTTAGGGAGGTTCAGATGCAACGTCAGCTCCTGCTGTATTGTGTCGTACCACATAAATTCCCTTTCTTTCAGCAGCCCCAACCCCCAGCTTACATCATTGCAGTGGCAGAGGTTACAGACTGAAAAGATGAGATAGACTTGCCATCCTGTCCCACCTCGGTGAAGAGTACCTGCTTGGCTATGACTGGGAGCAGGGCAAACCAAGGCCTCCTTTTCACCCCTATTTTCCCCTTTTCTCACGCTCCTTTCACCAGCTCCCCTGATAAGCCCCCAGCTGACTAACCCACGCGCTTCCTCGCTTTCTCTGAGGGTAAATCCCAGGCCACCTCGCACTAAGCCTCATGGCCACCAGGCTTGCCAAAGGACCCCTTGTCCCTCGCGTAACGACAGGGCAGTAGGTCACCCCTTCATGTTCCTCGGCACCCCCGGGTGTCACAGCCTGAGAGAGGGCACCCTCTGCCCCGGCATATGAAGCTTCCCTGGGTCTGTGGGGAGGGAGGATCTGGTCCTGCTTGCAGAGGAGGCACACCCACGAGCCATCACCACGCGCTTCTGCTCGACTTCCAGAGGTTGCTTTAACAAGACTACAAACTACAAACACCCCGACTGAACCCCTCCTGCCCTGGGCTGCATTTAGCTGGTCCCAGTGAGCCATTTCTGCCATTTCTGCCACCAGCTCCTCTGTATTCGTAAGGGGTTGTAAGGTGAGAATGGCCTTTGCCTTGGGTGGTATAAATGCCTTCTTCATTGACTTGCAGTAGAAGAGAAGACAACCGTCATGGATGTCAAACGTCGCCCAGCAGAGAGAAACAACAGGTCCATGCCAATGCTCCTCGCTCATGTTCATCTCCCCGCACCTTGCGTAAGTCCCCCCGGAGCTCTTCGTGTGTCGTGCATGTGTGTGTGCACACATGGGAGGGAGGAGGTTAGTAGGAAACCCTGGGGACTGCTAGTGGTGCTCCCCAGGTTGTGGTTGTTTACGCTGCTTCCCCAGCGCAGGCTCTGACGTGCTCCTGAACTCAAGGGACTGAGGCAGAGGACTCCAGCTGACCCTTTTGCTGCTTTTGGTAAACAAGGAGCTTGCCATGCTTTCGGCGCTTTTTTGAAAAAGCTAAGGACACTATCTGTGTGCAAAACCAACTCTGCCTAGAGAGAGACCAGATGTATGGATCCTGCTGTGGAAATGTAACGTTCACACTTCACTCATGGGGAGGAGCTGATGGTGAAATCTGGAGCAGAGCAGTTGTCCTCTACTTGTGCTCTTCGGACACAGGAAATGTATTTCTTCCTTGAAATGAAGTTCTTAAAAAAGAGGGCCTCTCTTTAGACACTGGAATATCAGAGGCCAGATCCCCTGCTGAGGTAAATCAGCGTATCTCTTTGGACACCACTGTAGCAGTGTGAATTGCAGAACTAAAGATGTAACCATCATGTAGAGAAATAGTGTACCTACATTTCCATGCGCATATACGTACACATTTCTATATACATACCCATAATGCATACTTGGTATATTCTTTGAACATCATAAAAACGGGAGGCCTGAGCCCAACCTCAGTTATGGCCAGAGTAAATCAGCAGTGACTTCCTTCAAGTCAGATTACACAGAAGCGTTGCGCCCACCAAAGTCCATTGCACACTGAGGTTGCAGGATCAGCCCCTAAGGCACGCTTCATGCCATGCTGGCGTATGTACCAGGGTCAAAGTATTACTGTTGCTGCACATTTTCTGGAGTCCAAACTATAATGCTTGTATCTTTATACGACCTAATAAAACTAATGAGATTTCCTCACATCTCCTGAGGCAAACGAAATGTTTTTGTCTTCTCTTCACAAGTGACAGTGTGAAGATCTCAGTTTCCAACTCAAACTTCCAGCTATGTGCACCCAAGTACCCAAGTCCATCTTTGCCCTTCAGCTGGTGCCTGCGTACCCCAGCTCGTGCCGTTTCAGTGAATAAGACCCCCACCCCTGTTTCTGCTGCAGGGGGAGGGACATGCCCACCCAAGCCACTGGCTAATCACAGAACCATAGAGTCATTAAGGTTGGAAAAGACCTCTAAGATCATCAAGTCCAACTGTCAACCCAACACCACCATGCCTGCTAAACCATGTCCTGAAGTGCCGTATCTACATGTTTTTTGAACACCTTCAGGGATGGTGACCCCACCACTTCCCTGGGCAGCCTGTTCCAATGCCTGACCACTCTTTGAGTAAAGAAATTTCTCCTAATATCCAGTCTAAACCTCCCTGATGCAACTTGAGGCCTTTAAAAGGCAAGTCATGCGTGTCACTCGCATCCTAAGCCTCGCCTCAAGAGCGCTGCAGTCAGACCTGGCCTGCAGGGAGCTGTGTCTGTGTCTGCACCTGAGCCTCCACTGAGTATCTTCCTCCTCTCTCCATACTCTGCCTCTTGACCCACAGTGCTGTTTGTACAAAATTTTTCGATACGCAGTTTTAAACCTTGGGGTGTTTAGTTTGGCCTGTTGCTGGGGGGAACTCACCATATTGAAAAGTCACGTTATGGCTCCACCAAAATAATGAAAATCAGTTGGACAGCTCTTTCTCAATATTTGCAGCTGCTCAGGTCTTCATTTTGCATTGTCACCGCTTGGCAGACTTCAGAAAACGTTGCATTACCCTGTATCGGTGTTTGGGGACATAGGGGTCTGGATTAGCAATACTGCCCCTTTGGGAAGTGTAATATGAGAAAAACAGATTTATAAACCACAGCACGTAAGCAGTTTCTTCATTCCAAGAAAAAGCACTTTTGAATATCATGGGAATTTGTTAGACGCCTTTTCTTTTTTTTAAAAAAAAAGGCAAGAAAGCAAATGGGCTTCTATCAGTAAGTGATCTGCAGCCTGTTAACGACCAGAAGCAAACGACGGATTCTTCACAGGGAGAGTGGCACATTTGGACTTGTGTGGTGCTGGCGTGTGAAGCTAGATATTAATAGTAACACGAGTGAGGTTTTAAATAGATGCTAGCGAAAGCAAATGCAAATCTAGCTATTTTTAAAGTAATGCAGGGACTAGGAATCACAAATGAAAGAAAATATTACAGCAAATATTAAATACCAACAGCAGTTAAAGGTCAGTGTCTTACTATAGCTACACCATACAGTTTTGTGACTTTAACATAGCCGTAGTAAACCTGAAACCAGCAGTAAAACTGAAAGAGTGTGTATATCTGGAACCAATGAAACTTGAGACAAACATTGAGGCAGATGGAAAGGGTGTTATAGTAGCACGCACTTGTATGTTTGCTAACTTTGTGTGCCTCATTAACCAGAGGCGAACAGATACCTACGTATTTAGGCTGCCCCAAATACATTTTTCTCATATAATATAACCTCGGTCTCCATAACTGACTCCTGTGGCAGGGCAGCATTCTTTCATGAAGTTATCTGCAGGCGAAAGAACATCGCCCTTCGCCGAGTACGGACACTAGAGTTTAGAATGCTACTTGTCGGTGGCCTTTAAAAATACAAAGGGTGAAGGCGCGTACCCCTTTTTAGGGGGCGGAGGGAACATGGCACTGCTGAGGGACCTTTGAAGGTAGAAATCCGCCCTGAGAAATGTTCACCACTTAAAAATACTTCGCTGGCCCCTGCGTGAGCTCGGAGGCGTCACCAGAACCACCAGACAAAAACACGATTTTCTCGCTTCTGGCTCCTCTTCACCCCTTGGAGGGGCCGCAGCCCTCAGGGAGGTGTCCCGCCGCTTCCCCCGCGGCTGGGTCCGCAGCAGGGCCATCAGCCTGCCCCGGCCGGGTTCACGGCAAAGCGGCTC